AGCAGGGGGGTGGAGGTCAAGCAGGGGGTGAAGGTGGAGCAGGGGGGGGAGCGTTGGGTGTCCAGTTGGAGGGTTGGGGTGTCCTTCCTTGGGGTGAAACTGGTGGGTGTTAAACGAGGCACTGGCTGACCCCGAGCGTCGTGTTGAGCACTTGGGGTTGGGGCAGCTGGGATGGGATGTCTGCAGCCACCTGGGGAGGCAAATTACAGGAGACCCCTCGAAACAGCGCCGTTTCAACACCCTCAGGGTTCTAATGTCCCTCCTCCCTCCCTCCAGTTCAGCTACGGTGACGAAGACCTGGCCCCCAACACCGCCAACATCCAGATGACCTTCCTGCGCCTCCTGTCCACCGAGGGCTCCCAGAACGTCACCTACCACTGCAAGAACAGCGTGGCCTACCTGGACGAGGACGCGGGCAACCTGAAGAAAGCCCTGCTCATCCAGGGCTCCAACGACGTGGAGATCCGCGCCGAGGGCAACAGCAGGTTCACCTACAGCGTCCTGGAGGACGGATGCACGGTGAGCCCGCGCCGGGGCCGGGGTGGGAGCACGAGGCTGGGACAGAGGGGGTACAAAGCAAAGCCTCACCGGTGAGAATCGAGGCACAGGCAGGAATCCCTTCTCAGGGAGGGGCCTCGGTGCAGCTCAACCCAGCCTTAGCCTGGGATTGTGTGAGTGGTTTAAATTGAAGGAGTTACGGAGGTTGTGACGGAGCCGCTTTTGTCCCGTGGGTTTTAAGTTTGTTTTTTTCTAAAAATGAGTGATTTGTTTTATACGAATGATCAGACAAAAGATCTCAATCAGAACTATTCACCACACAATATGAACACTAAAAATCTACTAGTAGAGTATAATACAGTATAATGTAGTAGAGCATAATATAGAGTATAATATTATACTCTACTAGTAGAATATAATATGAGGTAGTACAGTGCACTGTAACAAAGCAATTGTTGAAGCAGTTATATTAAAGCTGGTGAAAAGAAATAATTATTAAGTAGAGATCTGACCCAGACCGAGGGAGATCTCTGCTCTCAACCCCGAGGAGTGACCCTGGAGGGTGTCCCCAGTCAAGGGAGGAACCTCCACACATCCACCCCAAAAAGGTTATGTCAGAGGAACCTGACTGCTAGCATAAAGTGATTCACTGCCAGTCACACCTTTCCAGGCCAGCCACCAGCTTGTCTGTCAAACCAGACTTCAAAAAGCAGGGTGTGTATTCAAGTTGATGAACCAGGATGGTTTTAGCATAATTAACACCAAGACAACACCCTGACTCCAGCAGCTGATTGACAGCTCGATTGGATTTTAGGTCTTCTCGATTGGATTTTAGGTCTTCTCGGGGTGGGTCTATCCTGCCACAAAGATGATGATGATGATGATGATGATGATGATGATGATGATGATGATGATGATGATGAGTTGGAGGGGGTCAACCTGGTGGTTTGGGGGGGAGTTTGAGGGTGTCTAATAACACCTTTCCTCTGGGTTTCCCCAGAAACACACCGGCAAGTGGGGCAAGACGGTCATCGAGTACCGGTCGCAGAAGACCTCGCGCCTGCCCATCGTGGACATTGCACCTATGGACATTGGTGGAGCCGAGCAGGAGTTTGGCGTAGACATTGGCCCAGTCTGCTTCTTGTAAAAAAACAAACAAACAAAAAAAAAAACCACGAGAAAAGGATTGTTTTACTTGTGCGTTCGTTCGTCGGTTGCCGTTCGTTGTGGTGTTTTGTTCTGGGCTTTTTTTTGGGGGGGTTTGTGTTTTGTTTTGTTTTGTTTTGTTTTAAATCCAGCCCGACGCCGTAAAACTGTAAAAAAAAAACCAACAAAAAACAAAAAGAAGACCCAACGAACTGAACCCACCCCAAAGGAACCTGAGGAACTTCTCAATCTTCTCTCTCTCTCTCTGTCTCGTACGACTTCTGCACTGAAGGGCTGCAACGACCCCCCCTCGACTCACGCCCGTCCACCGGGGACCACCACCTCATGCCTGGGCAGGCTGCGAAATCAAACCAATATTTATTTATTCTCTTCCTGTAAGACCTATTTTTTGAAGGTCAGGTGGAGGTGGGAATGTAACCGACCCTTCCCTGCCGAAGGGATGTCGCCAATCCAGGTACCACGAATCCCCTCCCGTCCCCGTTTCCCTCCGTGTATCACCAGCAGGAGTGTTTTAATTGTATGATAATGACACAAAAGGAAAAAAAAAACAAACAAAAAATGGTGCTATTCTTGTAAAACAAGTCTGTATTTTTTAAAATCAGTTGATATAAAAAAAAAAAATACAAAAAAAAAACAACTTTTGGTGGAAAGTACAAAGTGGAGCCGGGGTTTTGTTTTTGGTGTGTTTGCTGCGTCCAATCTCCTCCCTCCCCCTTTCTCAGCCGGGATAAAGGAAGGTCTGAAAGAACCATGAAATGGTTCAGGTGGAAAAAAAAGAACTTTTAAGATCCTCATTTTGGGTCAACACTCCAACTTTTCTGGGTTGGGGCTACTTCACACTAAGGGGGATGGGAACCCAAAAAAAACAAAAATAAATCACCCAAGAAACCAAAAAAAAAAGGGGGGGAGGGAAAAGGAAAACCAAGTTAAGGGGAAAAATCTTGAAACCCCAGGAGGCAACACAACACCCACAAGGTTCCACTGTGGAACTTCCTGTCCCACTGCACCCCTGAACTCAGAACATCCTGGGACTCTGTAACAGAACTGGGGCCACCAGTTAGAACCAGTAAAAGCTGAGGGAAGCAAATCAGTCTGACCATGGTGGGGGGGCTCCTCCCCACTCTCCCCACAGGTTTTTATCCTGTTTCTGTGGGTGCAAAACTTCAATTTGGGGCTATTTTGCAGTATCGGAAGTGGGAGAGTCCGGGGCCGTCGCCTGCGGCTTTTAGGGCTTCATAAAAAGTCACCTATGTAAATCCCTCTCCTAATCAGGCTGCTAATTAGGAGGAAAAGTCTCAGAAGTGGAGGGGTTTTTTTTAGCTGTCTTGGAGGAAAGTCAGCCCAGTGACCCCGAGGAGTCACAAACCTGCAGGACGGAAGGGGCAGCTCCGGACCGGGGAGCTCAGGAGTTCCACGATGGTCCTATTGGTTAAAAACTCAGCTTTTTCTTTTTGTTTCTGTTGGTGGCATGTGGGAGCTGCGAGGATTTCATTTAGAGAAATTACGACTTCAAAAGGATTTTAAAAAAAAAGAAAAAGCTCCTATTTTGGGGCCCCGATGTCGGTTTGAAACACAACCCAGCCGGGAGCACCTGAGGCAGCTTCCGCAGGGCTGGGATCCTTCAAAAACCTTGGCAGGGGAAATTCATTAAGGGGGATTGGAGGATTAAGGAGGATTTTCAAAATAAAATGGCCCTTTAAAAGGCCAAGTGCTTCGCCACATGACCCGGGGGGGGCTCCCCTAATGATGGGAGCTCTGGCTGCCGGCCCTCACCCCACTAATTCGGGGTCAAACCCTTCTCCTGCTCAGCCAAGCAGCAAGTTTGGGGGTCCTGCTGGGGGGGGAAGGGGCAGCCCCAAAATCACCCAGGCTGCCTGTAGGACATGGGCATGAAGAGCGGGAGAAGGTGGGTTTGGGCTGTGGCTGAAGAGGGAGGAAGGTGGGAAAAGCAAGGAGACCCCAAGCAAGGCAGGATTGAGCCCAGCCAGGCTTCCAGGAGCAGGGGAAATGAGATGGATAAAAAGCAAAGCTTGTGATTCCTTCGTTTTCCTCACAAAATAAAACAACTCATCATAAATCGAGGGGTTTCCAGAATTTGGGGTGGGGGGAAGCTCATGGGTGAGGTCACCAGGAAGGGAGGGTGAGGCCACAATTCCAGCTGGGAATGGGTGCGTGGCTTTGTGTCTCTCTGGTTGAGTTTCTTCACCTTCATTCCCCTAAAACCTTGGGCTCATCCCCAGAGAGTCCAAAAGATGGTCAGAGGGATGGAGCAGCTCTGGTGTGAGGAAAGGCTGGGAGAACTGGGATTGTTCAGCCTGGAGAAGAAAAGGCTCCAGGGAGACCTTGGAGCCCCTTCCAGAGCCTAAAGGGGCTCCAGGAGAGCTGGAGAGGGACTTGAGACAAGGGATGGAGGGACAGCACACAGGGAATGACTTCCCACTGGGAAAGGGGGGATTTAGGTGGGATATTGAGAAGGAATTCCTCCCTAGGAGGGTGAGGAGGCCCTGGAATGGGTTTCCCAGAGGGTGCCCCATCCCTGGAAGTGTCCAAGGCCAGGTTGGAGCCACCTGGGATAGTGGGAGGTGCCCCCGCCCGTGGCAGGGGGTGGAAATCAAGATGAGCTTTAAGCTCTCTCCTAACCCAGGCCATTCTGGGATTCTGTGGAAAAAAAAACCCAGTGAAAGAACAGGTATTTCTGGGCAAAAAGACAACAAGAGAAAAGTCACAGCTCTGGGACAAAGCCAGATCTTCTCCTCAAACAAAGGACAGCACAGGGTAACGTCCAACTCAGGTTTAATCAGCACAATTCAGCTCCACTAGGCAGAGATCTCACTTCTTAAAGAAGAAAGCAAGGTGTGTTTTCACGTCCCAGTCACACAAAAATCGAGCATCCCTCTCTGAAAAGGGGCCTGATCTGCTCCCACACCCCCCGGGCGGGCAGACAAAGGGGCAGGGCACGAACGGGGGCAGCTCCCGGCGATCGAATTCCAGCGGAAACTCCCGAGGGACGAAACTCTCCGGGCTGCGAGTCCCCAGCAGGGCTGCGGGGGCAGAGCTGCCACATCGATTTGCTCTCGGGAGGCAGCTGATAGCGACCATCAGGAATGCGCCGCTCCCGGCAGGGAAGCCTTGGAAGCCCAGACTCCCACAAAAATCGGTTTAAATCCCTGTTTGCCCGCGGTGGAGCACAAGTACAAAGCAACACACCGAGCTGCACATGCCCTGGTTTCAAACCCCTGCAGGGGGGGAGAGGAAGGATCAGAGGAGGAGGAGGAGGAGGGGGAGGAGGCGAGTCCAACACAGACCCTCACAAAGGCAGGTGGTGCTCTGGGGTTTCTCAGCTGCCAGCAAACCAAAACCACCGTGGTTCCAAAGGTTTTGACTCCTTTGCCTCCTTTTAGTGCCCGTGGCAGAGGCAGAAGCTTTCCCTGCACGTCCCTAAGTGAGAAGTGTCCTTTGGCATCCAGGCCTGCTCCAACACACCCCAGTGACACGCTGCCACTGAGCAAGGAAGGGAATAAACCCACTGCAAGAGAACCTGGGACACCCAGCAGTGCCAAGCTTCCAAACAGGTGCAAAACACTCGAAACCTTCGGGATTTCAGAGCCTGAAGTTTCCCTGAAGTCCAGTTTCCCTACCCAAAAAAAGCTGTTTCTCCAGAAGCAAAGGGAAGGCTCCGTGGAGGGACCCGTTTCCTGCACGCGGAGGGTTTTGGGGCACGTGGAAGGGCACAAAAGGGACCCAGAGCTTCCAAGTGCCTCTCACCAGGGTCACTGCTTCCAGTTAAAGGTGTCTGTGCCCTTCTAGAAATCCCAGCTGTGCCTTCAGGCTGCCCCAGGTGCCAGAGGGTCCGTGGAGTTGGAGCTGCAATCCACGTACCGGTACCGCTCCACGGAGCTCTGGGTCGTGTGTCCCACGTAGGAGAACTTCACCGAGCTCCTGGCAGGGGCAAGAGCAGTTCAGAGCAGGTTTAAACTCATCACAACAACTCCTCTTTCCCTTCCCCTCCCCCTAAAAAAAAATGCAGAACCCCTCAAGGTTTTCCTGGCTGTGGCGGGCAGGGATACGCGGGGCTGGAAGTGGAGCCTCTGGAGAGCTCGGCACACGGAGGGAATTGTCTTCCCTATCCCACATTTCACCCACTGTGTCAACTGGCCTGGATTAACTGAGGCAAGGCTGGGGTGTTTGCCAAGCAGGATTTTCTCTTTGCACCCCAGACCTGCTGTGGCAGCAGTTCCCTTTGGAGTTCAGGAGCCAGGAAGGTTGGGAGAAGAGCTCTAAGCAGGGGGAGAGCAGAGAACCACCCACCTCATGAAGACCACGATGTTATGGACCTTCACCTTGGGGTATGTGCAGAAGGAACTGGAAGAGACCAAAGAAGTGGGTCAGCAGTGGGTTTCTCAGCAGCCAAAAATGAGTTATAATTATTTTTTATAATTATATTTATAGTTATTATCACCACAATAATTTCCCATTGGTGTTAACTCAAAACCACATCACAACACCCTGACAAAGGGCATTTCAAGTGATTTGTTTTTTTTTAACTAACAGCTGCTTTCCAGGAAGTCAGTAGAAAAACTGGGTCCTTTTCCAACCCCAGGTTACTTTGCAAACTGTAATAGAGGCACCTTCAACCCCACTCTCTTCCCCAGCCCCATACAAGGAGTAGCAAATCCTTACTACACGTAGGAGAAGGCTCCACCCAGCTCTGCCTTCACAGTAAAATTCACCTGTAACAGATAAAAGAAAACATCATTTATGTGCAGCTCGAGCACTCCTTCAATCCCCCTGGGTTTTGGGGGTATTTCCCACTTGCTGATGCCTTTGGGGCCACCCTGGCCACGAGATGTTGGGCCGAGCAGAGCTCTGAGGTGCAGCTCAGTGCCATGAGATGTTGGGCTGAGCAGAGCTCTGAGGTGCAGCTCAGTGCTCACTCGTGGTGGTGGCCCAGGTTTCACCCTTGACTAGGGGACAGAAATTACCAGTTTGTCACTCAGGGGTGGGATGCTGGAGATGTTGGTGACCTGCTGGGTGCCCACCACCGTGTTCATGTACTGCACCTGGTTGGTCAGGCTGGCCACTGCCACCGAGTAGAAGTTGGAGTTCCTGATCCTTAAGGTGCCCTGAAGGGAGAGAAGGAGGAGATGTGGACAGCAGGGACCTTCCCGGTGGCTCAGCTCCAAGTTTGCTCCCCCACAGAACACACAGATCCATGGAAAACTTTACCGTGATGGCCAGAAGGACAGCAGAGTTCTTCCTGTCAAACCACACCTGAACCACTTTGATCCCATCATCCTCCACCAGGACCGAGTGTGGGAAGAGGAAGAAAACCACGAGCCCGGAGACCAGGAGGCAGAGCAGCACCGAGAGCAGGACGTAGAGCTTCCTGGGGAAAGGCAGGGAAGGGCTCACCTGCTGTGCCCTTCTGGGAGACTCTGGGTTTGAAAAGCACCCACCACCCACTCGTTCTTCCTCGGCACAGACACAGAAGTGCTGCTCGGACATTTTTTGGTACTTGAATTGCTTCAAAACCTGTCCCCCCCTTTTTAAGCATTTATTTTCTGGCACTGAGTAACCACGGTTTGTGCCCTCCCTGTTTCCCAGCTGGGTGGTTTTGCAGATGCTCTGAAGAAGCTTCTGTGAGTAGGATCGTTGTTGCCACACTCACCCCACAGAGGGATTTCACGGGAAGGATTCAAAGTTACACCTTCAAACCGTGTTTGTTGGCGTGTGGGGCTGAAAACGCCCCGCCAACGTGAAGGAGAAGCTGCAGACTGGGGTGAAGGGTTTAGTTGCAGCAGAAAATGATATAAAAAGAGCCCTGTTTGTAAATACTCCCTCTGTGAACTCACGTTCTCTGGGGACGAAGCCGTTGGTCGCTGTAGGGGATCAGAGCCACCAACTCATTCACCTGCTCTGGGAAGCAAAGGGAAGCAAAGGGAAGCAAAGGGAAGCAAAGGGAAGCA